GGCAGGATTTGGCCCACAGACCTTGCGTTTGACACATGTTAAATACTGTGTACTTACTGCTATCCAAAGCTCTGAGTGAGATTTCTCTCTGATATCAACATGAGCTTCTGAAAGGTTTTCCTGATATCAAGAGATAAAAAGGTGACTGGAGAAGAGCACTAGCACACAGCCTGTGATTCCCTCCAATCAGAGCTCAGAGCTCTCCTCTCTGAGATCTTCACTGTGAGACTTCAGATCTGGGCTCCCTGCTTCTAGAGAAGAGGAAAAAATATTTTGATCTGTGAGTTTTTAGAACTATCTACAAAATACATTGCTTTAGATAAACAGGTACAACCTATGTAGGATGATTTATTTCATCACTGTATATCACCTGAGGCTAGACACTTCACTAGGTACTATAAACGTGAGGATTTGTAACCACTTAAAGCTCTAACAAATTTATATATGGAAGTTGCAAGATCATTTTGAGGTAATAAATAGCAAAAGTTGAGAACTGCCTGCATCCTCAGTATGTGAATGACCCCTCTTTCACCATCAGCACAAAGAAAGTTCATTTTTTCTATATTCTTTCCTATTGGTGCTTCAGATCACATAGTTGCAATATGCTCACATTGTAGGCATTGCACCTAAACTCTGCCACACTGTATATATGCAGATTTCACTCACAGCTATAAGAGGAGAAAAGCATTGAAGTCTCACCAACTCCTGACAAAGGACAAAGGTGTTGACAGAAACCATCTGACCAATCATCCAGTTTAAGGGGTGGGTGCTGGGAAGTCACCACGTCTATGACCAAGTCCCAAATGCAGGAGATATATCCCCAAACCCCAGGCCTCCATCATTTAGCAGCCGCAATCCACAGAAGTTAATCTCCATTTCTATTCTTCCCAAAACTAGCCTCCTCTTTTCCCTGCACCCTCTGGAATGCCGCACTGTCTGTAAAAAACTCACCTACTTCCACAACCTCTTTATCACAAATTCCTTTAACCTCCTTACCATTACCAAAAACTGGCTTCATGAATCCCACACTGCTTCTCCTGCTTCCCCTCTGACATAGTGGCCTTCTCTGGACTCACTCCCCCAGACCCAGTGGACAGAAGGGAGGTGGAGTAGGAATCCTTCTATACCTACAGAGAACCTATCAGGTACTTCACCCACCTCCCTCTCTGACACTCCCCTCTTTTGTATTCTTCTGTTTTCTCCCATGTCTCTAAGAATTACCACAATCTATTGGCACACTGGACCGGTATGAACCTTCTCTGCCTGGCTACCCTACTTTCTCTTTTGAAATCCCCATAATCATTCTCGGTAATTCCCTGTGTGTGTAATGGAAAGAGGTAATGCACTGAAAACAGGAGGTATGTACTATTCAGAAGATATGGAATTGCATAGGGGGATTTTTGTAAAATGTTGCTGAAGGTGAATGTAGACTTTAGCCACTTGCTAACAGCACTATAGCCAAATGATGGCTATGGTGCAGTCATCCAATTCTAGGAGGGCATCCTCACAGAACCAACCCCCCCCCCCCAACACACACACACACCTGCTGGGGAGCACACCCAGTGCTCTCTATGATCGCACTTGATCACAATCCACGGTGAAGGGACAATCACAACGGCTGTTTACCACGTGATCAGTTGTGTCCAATTACAGCTGATCACGATATAAACCAGTTACCACTTTCCCCATGCTGTCACAGTGTGAGAAATGTACTGCCCATAACCAGCAAGTGCAGCCCCAACTGTGCCCATCAGTGCTGCCTGTTAATGCCAGTTTCCATCAGTGCTGCTAATCAGTTTCCATCAGTTCTGCCTGTCAGCGCCCTTCAGTGCTGCCTATAAGTGTCCTTCAGTGCTGCCTAGTAGTGCACATCAGTGCTGCCTATCAGTGCCCATCATTGCTGCCTATCAGTGCTGCCTCATGAGTCACCATCAGTGCAGCCTATCAGTGCCCATCAGTGCAGTTTCATCAGTGCACATCAGTGAAGGAGAAAACTTACCTGTTTACACAATATTATAATAGAAACTAAGAAAACCTTTTTTTTTCTCCAAACTTTTTGGTCTTTTTTCATTTGTTTAGCAAAAAAATAAAAAAACCCAGTGGTAATTAAATACCACTAATAGAAAGCTATATTTGTGTGAAAAAAATTATAAAAATTTCATTTGGGTACAGTGTTGCATGTCCGCACAATTTTTATTCAAAGTGCAACAGCGCTGAAAGCTGAAAATTGGCCTGGCCAGGAAGGGGGTAAAAGTACCTGGTAGGCAAGTGGTTAAGTCAAAGATTAAGAACGTATTGAAACCATTCAATTAGAATGGTAGCATGACAACTGATGTTTTTCATGATGCCAGCAACTGCAGTTTCAGGGTTTCTCTTAGTACAGGCTTCTTTTAATCTAATAAAAATCTATTGTGGAAACATTTTGTGAATTGCAGAAAATTTTCATTACGTTTAAGGGAAAAATCAGGTGCACAGACAACAAGCATAACGTGCTGTCTCTATTAGTCCTACTTCAGTGGATACGTGGTAGTTGGGGAGAGTCCCCTTCACCACTATTTCCTTATCGTGACCTCCTATTGATACATGGAAGCATACAGTACCTATGTTTATGATTTCAACCTACTCAGCTATGCCATACTGAAAAGGAGGAGTGACTGCACACAGTACTTCTACAAGTTTCTGAGTTTAGAGCCATGGGATCCCTATACACAGTAAATGAATTTTCACTGAGTTATTGCTCTACTGAAACTGAATTTTAAGCTACATTGTTGGTTTAAATGCAAATGTGTTAATATCCCTTGGACTTAAAAATATTGAACAGTATTAAACATGCACAAAAACAAGTCAATATCATCAAACACTGGGTGAAGAGCTCAGCATTTTAATTGCACGTTACTGCAAAGAAGTTCAATACAAGGGAGAAGAGTGAAATGTGACCAAAAAAGATTTAATCAGGTGCCCATTTATGTTTAATCAAACATCAACAATAATTCTAATCCTTTCTTCATTTTAAACTATATTTATAAATAATAAAGTAGCAATGCAATGGAAAATAAAAAGAGAAGAGCCTAGAATGGCTATTAACCTCCCTAGCGGTCTGATTATGTCCATATTTCTGTGCTCAAAGCGGTACATTTATTTGCATGGAAATATGTATTTTATTTATTGTAGGCCTGTAATTTTTAGGAATAACTCACTGAAATCTGTCTGAACAAGAGTCTAGTAATCATCCCGGGTATGATAAAATTTGAAACACGAAATCATAAATTATAATTTAATAAATCATAAAAAAGAATAATATAATAATAAATTTAATTCAATAATATAATCAAACCAAAAACACTGAAATTTGAAATATAGTGCCAAGTTCACACATCACTGAGCAAAGTCGCAGAATCGTTTTCAGTGTCTGATGACGAATTTCCCCACAAATCATTATCACTCAATTCTGCAAGTGGTTCTAATTTACTATCTCTGTTCTCTAGCTGGTCTAAAACCGATTTTGACCTAAAGGGGCGCTTTTTGGACGCCATGGACATTTCTCAGTTTCCAGGCAATAAGAACAGTAAAAATGTAGGCAGGGCACAGGACAAAGCACTCGGGACAAAATGTATGTTAAATGCTTTGATACAGTAATGTTTTACTATGTGATTTTAGTGTATTTAGTGAATGTCACTTTTTGTCATTTTCAAATTTCCCGCCGTTCCGTCCCCCGTACGTCCCAACGCTCGCAGGGGACGGAACCCAGATGACAGATGCTGGCATCCGCCAGATTACACTGCAGGAGGGACATCGCGGGAGTGCTGGACAAGGTAAGTGAAGAACAGATGCTGGAGCAGCACCACATGGTAAGCCCAAGTGTAGCACGAGGTTACCGCTTTTGGTACTGAAACTTTACCCCGAGCTACACTCAGGAATACCGCCAGGGGGGTTAATGAGAAAGCATAAAGTAGAACTATGACTTTCCACTAAAAGTAAATTGTAAGTGTGTCTATATATACAAATTTCTCCTAAGCTGGCCATTGAAGGATTGAAATTCAACCACCAGTTCAGCAGGGACCAACCAAATTTCAATCCATCTATGGCTGTTTCAATTTTAGAGCAGTTCATCTAAGGACTGACTGCTCTCAAACAGGCTTATTGGAAAATGTTGTTTATATAGGTGCTACAGTCAATCAGTTGCAGCTCAGATCAGAGTATTCTGACAGCGGGGGAGTCCCCACTGTCAGATACAATAGGGCAGTGGGGAGGATTCCCTCTTCCACCTCAAATGTGTGGATGGGGAAATCAGTTAATTTTTCTTTTGATCAGCCAGCTGGCCAGTTTTAGTCTCCCTATAAAGCCTTCTGAAATATCTGTTGGTCCTGCCAGTAAAGTCCACAAAATGCAGCTTTCTGTGAAGGCACAGGAACAATGCTGCTCTGCGTCTGAATTTAGAGCAGAGTCGCTACTCTCATGTAGGCTGTACTTGCTTGCATTACAGTGGGGTGAAAAGATGCTGCATATTGTTATTAGCATTGCCACTGCTGATTCACAAGCATCTAGAAATCAATCCTGTAAAATATCTACATTACAGGACTACCAAGGCAGTTCAAATATAACACAAAAAACATAAAAGACAAACATACAGTAACTGTTTAGCAGAGGTATATTATTTTAGATATAGAGAAACTGTAAAGACAGAAAACAAAAGTATACCTTTTAACAACAAATACCCCTCCAAAATAATCCTTTTGGTAAAGAAAATGAAGAAATACATCCTAAAGCATAATTTTTATATCAATTCACTCATAATCAATGTTAAACATGAAAAGCAAGGATGCAGTGATCACATAGGAATAGTGGTGGTGCTTTCTTAAAGTAACAACAGTTCCCTGAATGCTAATAAAAATATAGCAATTTATTCTGGGGTGAATAAAAAAAAAAACCTGTAAAGTAATAAATCATATATATGTATTAGGTCACACACTTCATCCATAAAGGCATTGTAATTCTAGACCCACTGATCACATAAAAGGAAAACTCATTGATGGTTTCATACATTGTTTGGGAAGATAGAACAATCCTCAGAAGCAGGGTGGACGACAACTCATGGGGCCCCTGGACAATAGGGTATCATGGGGCCCCTGTGCCCTTGCCCAAACTCAAAAAAGCCTATGAAAAAGGTACCAAGGGCATCTCATGGGGCCCCCTACTGACATCGGGCCCTCAGGCTGTGCCCGAGTTTCCAAATGGTCAGCCCGCCCCTGCTCAGAAGTGAACATGTAGAATCAAAGGGAAGGCTGTTAACTGGTAAGATCCCCCAAGCATGCTAGTTGCATCCATGAACTGGAGCTAGCCTAATGGGGTGATTAAGCCAATTTGTACACAGCGTGTAGACATTATCCAAGAACTTTGAGCACTTCAGATGTGGATAAAGTCTCAAGGTGGGATTTCACCTGTAATTTATAATAGGTAGAAATATCCGCACATGGACCTCTGGATTTAAATAGTAATTAATGGTACACAAATGTCCACACACAGATTTCTACAGGGGTTACCAAGACCATCTATGCATGGCTTGGATGTCACCTACATTGCTAGGAGCACATAAAGCAGATGACCATAAAAAGAAATAAAAGTGCACTCACTCTCATGGAACTTCAAATTGAAGCTACTTCATTCCAGGTGTTAAAACTAAAGTCTATCCATTATAGAAGGATGTAGGGTGCACCACCACAAGATCAAATGGGGCAGAGACTAAAACCTCAGTCTCTAGTAATTTTTCCCTTTTCGTATAGTGCATGTTCCAGCACTGTTCTAATTGTACAAACTTAAATCATTTTTTTATAACATTTACAAACTTTCTACACTTACTGCACTTTTACATATCAAGTCAAATGCCTGATCCCAGTTCAGTGCATCTGACTAATAACAAACTGAACACACAGTGCTTCTGCAATACCCTGCAGATGCTTTCTCAAATATTTATAAGGAGATGAGTCTTTAAGCCTTGTCTTGGGGTTTCATTGCAGAATGAATGCAAATTGAGATCGCATTTCACATTTCTCGCTCCTATAGCAATCCATCTACCATTTGTGTCATGAATAGTGCATCTGTCATCCCTTATGGTGCAGATTCCTATTTTTTTTTTTACCAATTGTATCCTTCTTAAATGAAAGAGTAGCTGATAATTAAACCACTAGACTTAATTTTGTTTATAGAATGACTACAGCATTCTAACTATAATATCATACATGCAAAGTACATATAAAAACAACAGGATTGCAGAATAAAAACAAATTGGCTATACAAATGAGAATGAGTTTAAATATACTGACAGGTAGACATTATTGGCCTTATCCTTATTTTGTATGTTACATTTTAATTCTTGAATGCAGCAATCAGTCAAAAAGTCAAACCAGTTCAAGAAAAATTTTTGGATGGTGGGTTGGCATGCTGAATAATAGGCACCCAGGGATACATTTGGTTGATTTTCTAAAACTGGAGAGTGCAAAATCTGGTGCAGCTCTGCATAGAAACCAGTCAGTTTCCAGGTTTTTTTGTCAAAGCTTAATTGAACAAGCTGAAGTTAGAAACTGGTTGGCTACCATGCACACCTGCAACACATTTTTCACTCTCCACTTTTAGTAAATCAACCACATTGTGTACAAATCCTTTAAATAGGTTTCTATCCTATCCCTTTGATTTAGGTGCATATGTGAATAAGGTTGCATAGAATCCTCTAGAATTGTAGGACCACCCAAGCACATGTGGAGTGTGGGGTCTTGCACCTCTTGTAAATCTTATAATCTAAAACCATTAATGCTCTTGCTTAGTTGGAGCATTGCCATTATTACCTTTTAAATACTGGTTCAACCACTTAATCCAAGTGCACTGCCTGGCTGTCTGATGCATCTGCTGATCCTTGCTGCAGACAAGCCTTAAGCCAGCCATAGACGGTTCTAATCTCTGCCAGTTCAGCACGGACTGGCTGAGTTTTGAACCATGTATGGACAAGCTGAATGTATCCAAGTTGATCGAACAACTTGAGTACAACCAGTCTGTCTGATGATTTTACATGCGATTATTGCTAGCAGCTATTATAGCCACTAGCAGTAATCACTGTATTCTGCTGGCAGGGATGGTTCCCCCCGCCAGGAGAATAGCTCAATGAGTTGGGGAAAGTGATTTTATTTCCTGCCACCCATCCTGTAGTTGCAGGAAAGAAAATTGCTCCGTCTATGGCTGGCTTTAGTAAAACAAGATAGGGGAGGGAGTAGGTAAGGTGGTTTTCCCATTTACTTGCCATGTACAGATGCAGCCTTTCAATTCTTTTCACAACTCCTTGGAAGATATGTTTCTCTCCTTCCCTCCCTCAGCAGCTCAGAAAGGCCACACCCAACAGGGCAGAGGTAGCTGGGCAAGTGATCTGTAGCTAGTTAAATGGCCCTCCACTGTAAAAACCAGTGTGAAGGTAGCTGGGAAAGAGCCTAATAGCACGCAGCTTCTCTGGAAGACTCAGCTACTGGGAGAACCAGTCCCCAATTGTTATCAGCTTACTCTAGTGTAAATGGGGTGTACCCTTTGTGTCCTTGGGCCTTGGATCCCTCAAGCTGTTCATCTGTGTTAACAGATCTATCCTGGACATCACTGAGAGGGATGCTGATTGTGAAATTAAGTTCAGGTAGCTTTATTTGTGCTCTGAACTGTTTTACTGAAGTAAATCCAGTTCAATCAATAAAAAGGAAAACATATACAATTCCATATACACAATCCTATATCCACAGTTGATCCAGAGGAAGGCAAAAAAACCCCAGCAAAGCATGATCAAATTTGCTCCAGCCAGGGAAACAAAATCCTTCCTGATCCCCCAAGAGACAACTGGATATTCCCTGGGTCAACTTTACCTATAAATGTTAGTATTCAGTTAGTGGCCAGAACCAGCTCTTGTGGGAGTCTATTCCAAATTTTCACAGCTCTCACTGTGAAAAAAACACCTTTCTATATTTGGAGAATAAATCTCTTTTTCTCCAGATGTGAAGAGTGCCCCCTTGCCCTCTGTGATGACTTTAAAGTGAATATCTCTACATCAAGTTCACTATATGGACCACCTATGTATTTATACATGTTGATCATTTTAATCTCTTCTTCTCAAGAGAAATTAAATTCAGTTCCTCTAATCTTTCCTCAGAGCTGAGATCCTCCATGCCTCTTATTGGTTTGGTTGCCCTTCTCAGCACTTTCTCCAGTTATTCGATATCTTTTTTGTGAATTGGTGCCCAAAACTGAACTGTATATGCCAGATGAAGTCTTACTAATGATTTGCATGGGGGTAAAATTATATTTTTCTCTTTGGAGTCTATACCTCTCTTAGGATTTAGCTTGCTTTGGAAACCACAGCTTGGCTTTGCATGCCATAATTATACTTATGATCCATCAGAACACCCAGATCCTTTCCACCATTGATTCCCCAAGCTGTATTCCCCCTAGTATGTATGATGCATGCATATTCTTAGCCCCCAAGTACATAACTTTACATTTATCAACATTAAACTTAATTTGCTACATACAGTAGTTGCCCAATTAAACAGTGCATTGCGGTTGGCTTGTACATTGGAGACATCCTGTAAGGGTGTCATTTCACTGCATAACTTGTTGTCACCTGCAAAGACTGAAATGGTACTTTTAAACCCAGACCCTATATAATTTATAAATATATTAAAAGTTAAGTTTCCCTGCACTGAATCTTGGAGTTCACCACTAACGACCCTAGACCATTCAGAGTATGAATCATTAACCACTACTGTCTGAACCCCTTTTTAAATATGGCACTACATTGGCCTTACACCAGTTCAGTGGTACTATGCCAGTCATTAAAGAGTCCCTAAAAATTTTAAACAATTGCTTTAAAATGACAGAGCTCCATTCTTTTAGGATCTGTGGCTGTATGCCATCTGGTCCAGGTGCTTTATTCACTTTTATTTTGTGTAAATATTTCAATTTTGATCCACTGGGGATCATTTGGAGCTGTTTAAATATCATCCCCATTATGGAAATGAGCTCTCCCAAACTCCTTAGTGTAAACAGAGCTGAAGAAGGCATTTAATAAAATTGTGTTCTCTCATTTAATAAAATTGTCCTCAGTCACCCACTCTAGATTATTTTGAAAAGAACATACGTGCTCAGACCTGGCCTTATTACAATTAATATATTTGAATAATTTTTTTAGGGGTTGTCCAATCTTTTGCAAGCTGTAGCTTGTTTTAAATTTTTGTGGCCCTGATTTCCTTTTTACAGATTCTGTTATATTCTTTGTAACAATTAAATGATGACAGTGTTTCTTCATTTTTATATTTTTTAAAAGCTCTTTTTTCATTATTTATAGATTTTTTAACTTTGGCCATAAGCCACATAGGTTTTATTTTTAACCTTTTAAACTTTTTGCCCATGGGAATATACACTGGTCAAAAAAATTAAAGGAACACTTTGAAAACACATCAGATCTCAATGGTGAAAAATATCATGGTGGATATCTATACTGATATGGACTGGGTAATGTGTTAAGAATGTAAGGATGCCCCCCATCATTTGATGGGGATGAAAATTGTCAACTTACAGAGGACTGAATTCAAAGACACTCCGAAAATCACAGTGAATAAATGATGCAACAGGCTAGTCCATTTTGTTGAAATTGAATTGCAGCAACTCAGAATGGTATGGCCCCCATGTGCTTGTATGCATGCCTGACAATGTCAGGGCATGCTCCCAATGAGATGACAGATGGTGTCCTGGGGTATTTCCTCCCAGATCTGGACCAGGGCATCACTGAGCTCCTGGACAGTCTGAGGTGCAACCTGGTGCCATCGGATGGACCAAAACATGATATCCCAGAGGTGTTCTATTGGATTTAGGTCAGGTGAGCATGGGGTCTATTCAATGGTATCAATTCCTTCACCCTCCAGGAACTGACTGCATCCTCTTGCCATATGAGGCTGGGCATTGTCGTGCACCAGGAGGAACCCAGGACCCACTGCACCAGCGTAGGATTTCGGAGTAGGCATTCAATGATTTCATCCCGATACCTAATGGCAGTCA